TCTTTTCCTTTTCCTCTTCTTCTTTCCTCCTTTCTAATAGTCGAAGGATTTTTGTTATTACGTTTCATTTTCTTTTTCTTTAATTTTCTTTTCATTTTAGACTTTTTCCTCTTCCTTCTCATTTGTCTTCCCTTTCCCTCGTTTTTCTATTTCTTTGTCTCATCTTGTTTCTGATGCCAGTACTACTAAGGGAACTAAATCTGGTCCTCCACTTACTTTTTTCTTCTTTACCAGATTTCCTTTATGCTTGTGGTTATAATGATGCTGAAAATATCTTAATTCTATTACCCATTTAATATCGATAACATTTTTTCATGAGGACGTGAATATTCTCATCCTTGATATTTACAACGTATTTCCTAACATCGATTTTATTGTGTGTGTGTGTGTGTGTGTGTGTGTGTGTGTGTGTGTGTGTGTGTGTGTGTGTGTGTGTGTGTGTGTGTGTGTGTGTGTGTGTGTGTGTGTGTGTGTGTGTGTGTGTGTCCGTGCGTGTGCATGTGCGTGCGTGTCTATATATATATATATATATATATATATATATATATATATATAATATATTATATACGCACATGCACACACATATGCACACGTACACACACACACACACACACACACACACACACACACACACACACACACACACACACACACACACACACACACACACACACACGTATATACATATGCATATAATGTGATAAATTAACATAACCCTTGTCTTTTCTATATATCTTAGAAAATACGAGTGATATTCTGTCTCAGAACTTTTACCACGTAACAATGATCCAAACCATTTCCTAACCTAATTGAAGTCATTGACGCGGATCACACTTACATATGTAATTTCCCTTGAAAAAAAAAAGTGATTTATTATGCACTGGTATCTCATGGAGGCTGGTTGACGCACTAATGACCTATTTTTTCAAAGGCATTCATCATGGCATCATTTCCTAACTGCCCATTTCCTCGTTCAGAAAATTGGATTTAATATATTCCTTTTACTACCATCCATTAAATTACATGATTACGTTTAGTCATTTAACGGCGGGCAAGTTTTTCCATGCGCTGCAAACGTAATTATTGCAAGTGATAGTGCTGGATCTTAGTCTCCGTTATAAAGCCTATGCGTCGTGTTTTCCGTTTCGTACAGTGTTATAACAAAGATATAAAAAATAAATAAATAAATAAAAGATATAAAAAAAGCCACTAACATAATAGCGAAGTCGGTTGCACTTGGAAAATAGCGATACTGCCATATGCTCTATGCTGCAAACACTATCAATTACTTCCTGCCACTGACAGTTCCAGTCTTATCAACTCCAAAGCAAAAAGGTAATAATACGGACAATGAGGCTATAGCAACATCGTTTATCCATCGGGAAATGAAGACAAAAAGGATAAAATTATGCTGCAGTTCCAGCCGTGTTGCTAACAGATCGCCCTCAGAGATATGCATACCTTGACCCAAAGTAGGAATAAAAGCATTCGCTCCTCTCGCTGCATAAGTATTAAGAGTTGTCATCCCCGCTTTAGAAAGTGTTTCCTTAGAGAATTCAGTTATGGTAAGGATGGTGCATTTCTAATAACGAATGCAATTAGGGAATGTTTGTTTGTGTGCCTTCCACATATTCATAAAAGGCAAAAAAAAAATGAAGCTGTAACGTAAATATTTAAAGCAATGTGGGTCATCCTTTGGCATCCCTCTCTCTTCTCTCTCCTTCCCTTTACCCCCTTCTCGTCACCCTCACCCTTCTTCTTTAGCCCCTCTACGCACCCCTCTTCCCTTCTGCCCCCCCCTCTCTACCTCTCAAAAGTCACTTTCAAACACGCCAAGTATCTGAATAATATTTCTGAAATTCCAATAGCCCCTTTGTTTTTCCTTTTTTTTAGCTATCTCCACGCTTTTTTCTTCCTTTCTACTTACGGCAGCAAGTTTCAAAGACGTCAGAACATGCACTTGTATCACGCGTTTCAAAATTCATTCGTTTTTGGTAAAAGCTGGGGGAGGGGGGGGGGAGGGGTAGCTGAGTCATTGTACCTAATGGGGAAAAGGGGGGGGGGGTCGTGTCTTTACATGAAGTTGTCCGCTAAGGCCTTGACCTTTATAGCATAACCTTTAACACTTGTTGAGGTAGGACGAGAGGTATTTTAAACTGCAAATTTTGGGCGAGCTGTTTGAGGTTAAACCAACGCAAAGCAATAGGTACATACATTGTGTTGACGGCTATATCACTCCTATCTTTTTTACTTAAATCTTCGACCGTGAGCAAATTTTCTAGTCATAAACGGTAATAAGTTTAAAATAATCATTTCAAAACATACCATGCACACGATGAATTACAGAACAGTTCAAATGAGACAAATAACCGCCCTTCATACTCTACATTTGCTACAATAAACACTGAATAAAAATAATTCTTAAATGAATAATGGTCACTTACCGTTTACTGGAGAATTGTCTGTTGGTCGGCAAACTGTTGAGCAGCCTTCAAATTGAGTAATTCCACACATTTAGCAATTCCATTTTCACTACCGCGCCGCACTCACTAAGCCATAAACAATGCCACGACCTAGAATTTTCTTGGGAGTTTCACGTAAATCCACTTGGTTTATCACATTCATTAAATTAGGCTTTTAAATGATTGATTCTGCGAGATAAAACACTTTTCAAATAAACCGACGCCACTAATACACACTGATTTACTAGAAAAAAGATAGAAAAGCGCACACGACACTTGACAAACACAAACTGACTCGTTTTGGCGGGAAACATGAGATCAATTTGACCAATCAGCGAGCGACATGAAAAAGTAGGTGGCGATTATTGAAAAATTAACCAATCATAACCCTGGTTGTTTCCTGTGTGTTTTATGATTGGTGTAAATCATTAAACATTATAGTAAGCTAATATAAGAGAGTTTCATTTATTATTTATTTGATTGTCTTTATACGAACGTTTTCTGGCTCATTTACGAGGATGCGAAAGGTTAATAATCTCCATCATTTGACGTAAGACAGATCAATTATGATGGTATTCAGTTTAAATTAGATAAACTGTGTATTAGTGCGAAGTCATATCACTTTTTTTTTAATTAACTTAATCGTGCAGTGCCTGACGCGGTGTGTGCAGAGACAAAACAGACACAAAAACAGTTAGACATGTAAGGGGAGTATTTTCCTACGCTCCGCCCAACCCCTTCCCTAACCTTATTTCGTCGCTCCTTCAGATACAACCTCCCGAAGGATGTCCTCGTCAACGGCATCCCGCTCATTGACAGCTTCAAGACCATCGTGGGATCCATTTGCCCGGACTTCATCAAGCCTGTAACCTGTAATCCCAAACGGTAAGTAGTGAATAGTATTAAAGGTGGATAAGAATGTAGAACGATAAAAATGATGATGTTATAAAAGTTACGAGAGGGATGATACTAAAATACGATCCCGAATAAATGGGAAAGTCGATAATAAATAAATATATTGTTGATGTTAGATATAAACATCTACTTTCCGAAAGTATCTATACAAAAAAAGGTAATAGATTAAGCTAAAATATTTGTTTGACGTTCTCGCAAGTTTAAAAAAATACGAAATTACTAAACACACGTGAAGTTCATCCGTGTTTACAAAATACATAAAAGGCAAAGATCAGATGTTTTCTATTTGTTGCTCCACAGTTACCGCGAGTATGACGGCCGCTGCAACAACTTGGAGAACCCAACTTGGGGATCCAGCTTCTCGTCCTTCAAGCGCCGCCTTCCTCCCGACTACGCTGACGGTAAGGTCTTATCTGCCCGTCTCGTATTTTTTCTTCAGTATATGCGTTTCCCTTTCCCCGTTTGTTTTTCCCTCGTTTTTTAAAAAGTTTCAGACATGTGATTTCTTTTCTTCTTTTTTCTTAATCCCCCATATCCATAAATTCCAGTCACGTAAATTCTCCCCCACACCAACCCACGCTTTGGCTCGCCTAACCTTACCAACCGACCAGAACAAAATCGGCCCACAGTTCATCCTTCCCTCTCCCCCTCGCAGGCATCGACGCCCCACGGGTCGGGGCTGGGGGGTACCCACTCCCCTCGCCGAGAATCGTGTCCGCCCACCTGCACCGCGACGAGGGCCTCCACGACCACGCCGTCACCATCATGCTCGTGGCTTGGGGACAGGCGATCGACCACGACCTCACCCTCACCGTGGAGACGAAGGGTGAGTGTCTGGGAGGTACGGGAGGGGGGGGGGGGAGGATCGACCACGACCTCACCCTCACCGTGAGACGAAGGGTGAGTGCTGGAGGTACGGGAGGGGGGAGGGAGGGGGAAAGAGGGAAAGAAGGGTGGGAGGGGAAAGGGGGGAAGAAGGGTGGGAGGGAAAGGGGAGAAGGATGGAAGGGGAAAGGTAAGAAGAGGGAAAGAAGGGTGGGAGGGAAAAGAGCGAAGGTGGGGGGGAAAGAGGGGAAGATGGGAGGAGGGAAAGGGAGAGGGAAAGAGGGAAGAAGGGTGGGAGGGAAAAGGGGGTGGGGAGGGAAAATGGGGGAAGGGTGAGAGGGAAAGAGAGGAAGAAGGAAAAATGGGTGGGAGGAGAAGGGTGGAAGGGAAAGGAGGAAGAAGGAAAAGGATGGAAGAGGGAAAGGGTAGGAGGTGAGAGCGAAAGGAATGAAGAGATAAAAAAGAAAGTCATAGCGAGAAAGAGCGAGAGATAGCGTGTGCATATTACATACTGTATTCCCATGTATGTACTCTACATCTAACACAAATACTGACATACACCCACGCATTCTAAAAACAAATAATTCAAAAAAAAAAATAATAATAATAAAAAAAAATAAAAAAATGAAAAAAATAAACGATAAAAAAAAATAGATAAAAAATCAGAACAACCCTTCAGACCACAACCTAACCACCAACTTTCCCCCCTCCCCCTCCCCCCTATCTTAGACCCACTCACCAAAAAGGAGCCGAAGTGCTGCGAAGGCGAGACCCACCCTGCCTGCTTCCCCATCCACGTGCCGGACAAGGACCCCTTCTACTCCCTCTTCAGACAGAACTGCATCTCCCTCGTGAGGTCCTTGCCTGGTGTCCGTTACGGGTGCAAGTTCGGTTAGTAAACGCTTGAGTGATTTGTTTGTTGTTGTTGTTTTATGGATTAGTTATTGGTTTATCTATTTGTGTGTTTGTTTTATATATTTGTGTATTCATTTTTATTTGGCTTTTTTATTCATTAATTTATTTATGGGGGGCGTTACTTCGATCTTCCACTCCCGCAAAGCAAGAATTCAGAATCCTACTTACTCCACACGCTTTTTATTCACGCCCTTACTCATCGAAGTAACCCTCCAACCAGCACACTCCACATGCCTCTTCCTCACGCCCTTACTCACCCAATGATCCCCGAAGCAGTAACCCAACATCCTACTCACTCCACACGCCCTTACTCATCGCCCTTACTCACCTAATTATCCCCAAAACAGCAATCCGAAATCCTACTCACTCCACACGCCCTTCCTCATCGCCCTTACTCACCCCAACAGGTCCGAGGTCCCAGATCAACCAGATCACATCCTACATCGACGCCAACTGGGTCTACGGCAGCAACGAGAAGACAGCCAACCGCATCCGTCTACATCGCGGCGGATTGATGAAGGTGAGGAAACGAGGGGAGAGGGAGGGAGGAAGGGGGAGGAGGGAGAGGGGGTGGGGTGGAGAGGGATTGTGAGGGAGAAGGAGAGGAAATAGTGGGAGGGAGTGTGGAGGGGAAGTTGGGGGAGGGGGAAAGAGAGGGATTGAGGGAGTAAGGGGAAGGAGAGGGATAGAGGGAGAAGAAGAGGAAATAGTGGGAGGGGGACATTGAGGGAGTGTGGAGGAGGAGTTGGGGGAGGAGTGGGTTTCAGGGAGTAGGGGAAGGAGAGGGATGGAGGGAGAAGGAGAGGAAAAGTGGGAGGGAGTGTGGAGGAGAAGTTGGGAGGGAGGAGTAGGGGAAGGAGAGGGATAGAGGGAGAAGGAGAGAAGTGGAAGGAGGAGGGATTAAAGGGGAAGGAGAGGGACTGGGAAGAGAATGAGGAAGGAGGGGAGAAAATGGGAGAAGGTTCTGAGAGAGAGGAAGGGAAGTGGTATGGGTAGAGAGAACAGATGAAAGAGAAAAAAAGAGAATGAATTGGGAAAGAGTACAAGAAAAGAAGTGAAGAACAAAGGAAGGATGGGAGAGAAATATGGGACATAGAATAAAGGAAGAATGGGAGAAAGACGGATAAAGAGAATAGGAAGGTTAAGAGATAGTGAGAGAGGAAGAGAAGGATAGGGAGTGAAGAGAGAGAGAGAGAGAGAGAGAGAGAGAGAGAGAGAGTGAGTGAGAGAGAGAGAGAGAGAGAGAGAGGAGGGAGAGAGAGAGCAAAGGGACAAGCGAACGAAAGGGAAAGAGATAAAAAAAAAAAAAATATATATAATATATATCACAAAATCCCTCACACCACGCCCTTCGTCGCCAGTCCCTGCCGGTGTTCCGAGAGTACGGCATGAAGGACCTGCTGCCCCTGAAGCTGGAGGAGCCCGAAGAAGGCTGCATCCGACCCAACAGCGACGTCTACTGCTTCGACGCCGGAGACAACAGGGTCAACGAACAGCTGGTAAGATGTGGGTTCCGGTTGGGCGTGGTCTGTAGGGGGAAGGAGGATAAGTGGAGAAATAAGGGAATGGGGAAATTGAGTAAGATAGAAGGATGAGGAAAATAAGATAAGAGGATAATGAAGGTAGATTGAGATATAAGAATAATGATGAGATAAGATAAATGGATAATGAAGATAGAATAAGGTAAAAGAGTAATCAAAATGAAATATTGAATAAGATAAAATAATTATGAAAATAAGATCAGAGGGTAATGTAGGTAGCTTTATATATAAGAATAATGATAGATAGAGGGATAATGAAGATAAAACAATAGAAGATAATAATGGTAGAATAAGATAGTAGATTGGATATAGTGTGTCGTTTATGAAATGTTGATATTGGTGTGGAAATGTATTAAAGGTAGTTTGAAACAGGTAGCCCCGTGTGCGTATGTGCACACTCACACACACACACTTACACAAACGCGAAACCCAACCTTACCCTACCCCCAACCAACGCTGATACCCACACCCAAAACCCACACATCTACGCCCATTCACATCCGCCCATCCTCCTATACACCAATCCACACCCGTCCACACCCCCCACATCCATCCACCCCAACACCTACCCACCCACACACACACACCCACCCACCCACCCACCCACCCACCCACCCCCACACCACCCACAACACCACCACCCACCCACACCCCACCCACCAATCCACACCCGTCCACCCACCCACACCACACCTACCCACCACAACCCACCCACATCCATCACCCACCACATCCACACCCACACCCATCACCCATCCACCCATCCACATACCCACCTCACCCACCACACCCACCCACCCCATCCACCCCATCCACACCACACCACCTACACCCAATCCACCCCACACCACCCATCCACATACACCCAACCTACACCCAATCCACACCACACCACCCACTAACCTCCCGCCCCCTCCCCCACAGGTCCTGGCGGTCGTGCACACCATGATGATGCGAGAACACAACCGCATCGCCGTCGAGCTCTACCGCTACAACCCGCACTGGGACGACGAGACGCTCTACCAGGTGGTGGAAGTGGGCGTCGTGGCGTCGCGGGCGGTCGCGGGCGGTCGCGGGCGGGGCGGAAAGCGGAGGGAAAGAGGCTGGCAGGGCGAGGACTTTGGTTTGCTGGTTTGTTTTGGTTTTGTTTGCTTTGTTCGAGTCTTTTGGTTGTTTTGTTTTGTTTGTTCGAGTCTTTTGCTTGTTTCTTCAAATTTTTTGTTTGTTTGTTCGAGACTTTTGTTTGTTTGTTCTATTTTTTTGTTTGTTTGGTTTGTTTGTTCGAGACTCTCGTTTGTTTATTCGAGACTTTTGTTTGTTTGTTCGAATATTTTGGTTGTTTGTTTGGTTTGTTCAAGACTTTCGTTTGTTTATTCGAAACTTTTGTTTGTTTGTTCAAGTTTTTTGTTTGTTTGTTCGAATCTTTTGTTTGTTTGTCAGAGTTTTGCTTTGTTTTTTTCATTTCGTTGTCTCCACTCTTTTCTTCTTCTTTTATCTTTCTCTTTTCTTCTTTTCTTCCTTTTTTTTCTTCTGTTTGTGCCTTATCATCTACCGGTGCTCTCGCGTTTAAGATCGTTATTGTTTCGTTTTTATTTCTTTTATTATCATAAAACGCGGTATTTTACATCAAGAAAACTGGAGCAAAAGAGAGAGTTCTAAAAATAGAAATGAAAGTAAAACAACGGCATTGATATTATTTCATATTCTATTATATCATACATCATATCATATCACATCGTATATCATATCATATTATATCATATCATATCATATATCATAAAATATCATATCATATTATATCATATATCATATCACATGCATATATCATATCATATCATATTTCATAATATATCATATATCATATATTATATCATATCATATATCATATTATATCATATATTCTATGTTATCATATAGTTATATATATGACTCGCACTGTCCATACGATATGACACTTAGAAGCGAGTTAGGAAGAAAGGAAGGAAGAAGGACGAAAGGAGAGACAGGGAGAGTGGGTGGGAAGGAGGGAGGGGGATAATTCTCTTCCCCCTTTTCTTTCTCCTTCGCTCTTTTTCGCAATCTTTAGTCTCCCCTTCTTCCTTGACCCTCAACTTCTCTCTTGTTTTTTTTTCACTTCTATTCTCTCTTCCTTCCACATACCCTCCCTTTTCCCTTCCTTCTTTCGTCTGTCATTCCCTCCTTCCCTCCTTTCTCCCTCCCTGCTTGTTTCCTTCCCTCCTTCTTGTCTCATTCCTTCCATACACTCATTCTCATAATGATCATTATCATTATTGTAATTATTGTCTATATTACTATTAGTATTGCAAACTTTTTCATTATCATTATCATTATCCATATTGTTATTGCTACTGTTTTTATAATCACTGTTTATTATTCTTATAATTGTTATCATTCTTACTATTATCATCATTATTAATATCATAATTATCATTTTTAGTATTATCGTTATCCTTATTATTATTATTACTATCCTTATCATTATTATTATTATTATTATATTATTATTATTATTTATTATTATTATTATTACAGTAACATTATCATCACTATCATTATCACTATCATCATCACCGTAATCGTCATCATCACCATCAATCACCCGCACCACCTCAGCCAGAAGCGGCATCTCATCCCATGACGTGCACGGAAGCAAGACCACGACAGAGGCCACAAGACGTCTGCCTCCGTTGTGCAATTGCAGGAAGTCGGATTGCAATCTCGGCTCCTGCACGTATTCAATTTTTTTTCGATCTGATAAACTCGCACCCTTTCTCTGTGTTGTTTTTTTGTGTTTTTTTGTCTTTTTTGTTTTGGTTTTTGGTTTTCTTTCTATTTTTGTTGGTTTCTTGTGTTGTTGTTTTTTAATAGATCTTATTATCATGATTATTTTCATTTCGAGTAGTATTGTCGTTATTATTATCTTCATCTACATTATTTGTATTGTTGACACCGGGATTACTAAGATTAGTTTTATTATTCTCATGGTTGTTACTAATCTCGTCATCGTCATAAGCATTATAATTAGCATTTCGTCATTACTATGATTTTGTTAATCATCTCACCATTCCTTTTGTCATCCTCGTTGTTACATGATCTTCATTGTGATTATCCTCATAATCTTTGCCGTACCATCACCGCCACCATTGGTAGAGTCACCATCGCCATCACCACTACAACAGTCAACATCATCATCACCACCTCAACCGCCATCTTTGCCATCACCATTACCACCATAACCACCGCCATCACCATTCCCACCCCCTACCACCATTACTACCATTACCCACCCTCGTTACCACCATAACCTCCCACCACCACATTCACTACCACCTCCTCCCCCCTCCCCATTCATTACCACCTCCCCCCCTCCCCATTCATTACCACCTCCTCCCCCCCACCCCACCCCATTCACTACCCCCCCCTCATCCCCACCATCCATTTACTACACACCCTCACTCCCACCCCACCCCATTCACTACCCCCCTCATCCCCCATCCCATTCACTACCACCCCCCTCACCCCCATCCCCTCCCCCACCATCCCCCCACTAAAATAACTCGGTCCTTCCGCCTTCTTCAGGAGACCCGGAAGATCGTGGCGGCCAGCATCCAGCACATCACCTACAACGAATTCCTGCCGATGGTCCTGGGTAAAGAGGTCATGCACAAGTACGGACTCATCCTCGAGAAACACGTGAGTACTGAGTCGCCCGATTCATCGAGTTGAGTCAACGGAGGAGTCATTTGACGTGGGGGAGAGGATGAGTTAATTCATGAGAGTGGTATCTTATTCATGGCTTAGAAAAATTATGAGTAAAGTAAGTAGCGGTTCATTCATCACGTGAGTTGTAATTTACTCATCGGGCCAAGAGAATAGAACTAGTGCAAAGATGCTCTCTCTTATTATGTCTTTGATCAGTGTCATTATGCTTTTAATTAGTTGAACAGCAAAATTGTGAATCGAATCCCTGTTTCATTATATTTGTTTACACTTCAACAAATTGTGAATCGAATCCGTTTCATTATATTTGTTTACACTTCATCAAACACTCGCGCATATATTTGCATAAGTCAACTAGCCATGACCTGACATAGACAGTATCATTTTTTCCTATTTTCTTATTATCCTTCTTGTTAATTCAAAACATAATCAGTGTCATTATCGGAATTAGAGACCGGAAAAGGGAGAGAGAAAGAAAGATCGTGAGAAAAGAACGTAACTGACAGGAAGATAAAGCATTAAAAGAGAAATGTGAATGATGATGCGTTTTCTTTATCTGAAATGATAAAATGGTTCCATTCTGTCAGCATTTTACAATTTTTTGTCAATATTCACTTTTGGTTCAGAAGAAAACACCGCGTTATGTGATGATCTTAGATGGATACTGTAATGGGTTATTACGGTTTTCGTGAAATTTCATCACAGAAAAGGAAAAGAAAAAGAAAATGTAATCTCATTCAGGTTCTGTTAACTTCTATCCAAAAATGTCAAGCGTTGCATCACAGAAAATTAAACAGATAAATGAAACCGTAAACATACTATAAGGTGAACACAACTCTAACGAAAGCGAAACGCGAAACTTCGGCAATTGAATCTATAACGTAAGAAAGTTCATTAATCTCTCTAATTAACTGTGACACGTGCTGCGGAATTCACTGATTTTCTAGAGAAATTAAGATCAGGAGACAATGAAATACGCGGGTAAATACATTTTTTTTTCTTTTTTTTTCTACATAATATCACAATGACCCGTTGAGTGCCCCCCACCCCCTCACGAAGCTCCTACCCTAACCCGCCCCCTCCTCTCCCTCCAGGGCTACTTCGACGGCTACGATCCCTCCATCGACGCCTCCATGTCCTCGAACTTCGTCACCGCCGCCTTCAGGTTCGGCCACTCCCTCCTGCCGTCCACCATCGAGCGCTGGAGTCCCGCCCACAAATACGTCGGTGAGTGGAGCGCCCTTGCTTGACCTTGTTTGAGTTGGTCTTACTCGGTCCCGCCTGATTTGGCCTGTTTTGGTTCGGTCTGACCTGTGCTTGGGAGTAGAGTGCCTACCGAGTGTTAGGCCTTTTTTTGTATGCCGGTAATATGTATTTTCTGATTATAAGAAAATTGTTCTTTGAAAACATTGAAAATCTACGTATTGCAGTTTCTGTCAAATTTTCTTCGATTTACTCTCCTTATCTTTTTAAAAAATCACACACCGAAACAGGAACCCTTTCAGAGCGCCCCAACCCCATTCGTTAGTCCCCCGTTTTGGCTACCTTTTCCGCGCAAAATCGGCTTCCATCTCTCCCTCCTTCCTTCCTTTCCTCCCTCCCTCTTCCCTCTCACCCTCCCACGCTCCCTCTCCCCTTTTTCTTCCCCCCTTCCCTCTCTCGAGCCACGTTCCGCCTTCGCACCCAGCGTCAAGAGACTCATCTTAACCTCATCTCTTCCTCCCTCAGCATCTCAGCGTCTGAGCTTCATGTTGAGACAGCCCTACGACCTGTACAAGGGCGGATGGTGCGACCAGTACATCATGGGACTCTGCAACCAGGTCGCTCAAGCCATGGACGACGCGGTCACGCAGGAGGTCAGTTTGGTTGTTTGCAAAGTTGCACAGAGCGGGCTCTGTTATACTTCTCGTATTAGATAGATAAACAGATAGAAAGAGAGAGAGAGAGAGAATGTGAAAGAAATGGTGAGACAAGGAGCCAGAGGAAAACGATGCTTAACGGCACCCAAACCTTTTTCCAGGTGACCAACCACCTGTTCCAAGAACCGGACAAGAAATGGGGCATGGACTTGGCCGCCATCAACATGCAGCGCGCCCGAGAACACGGCGTGCCCTCCTACAACGCCTTCAGGGTCTTCTGCGGGATGCCCAAGATCAACCGCTTCGACGAGCTCCTCGGCTGGATGACCAACAAGACGGTGAAGCGCTACTCGGACGTCTACAGGTAGGTCGTGGCTCGAAGGGCGTCGTGGTTGGTGCCGTTGGTTGGCGTTGTGTTGAGCGGCCGATGCTGCTAAATGGGTTAACGAGGATGTCACTGCTGTATACTTTCATGCCCCTCCACAGCTATCCAAGGAGCCTGAATACATGTGTTTAACCACCAATTATCGTTGTCATACCAGCACCAACGTTTTAACCTCCCGTTCGCCATCACCACCAACCCCTCCATCCCTCTTCACCTCCCTCCTTCCCTCCCTTTACTCCCCTTTCCCCCTCTTTACCGCCTCCTCCTCCCCCTCCAGACACCCCGACGACATCGACCTGTGGAGCGGCGGCGTGAGCGAGCGCCCTCTGCCCGGCTCCATGGTCGGCCCCACCTTCAGCTGCCTCATCGGCCTCACGTTCAAGGAGCTGCGCTACGGAGACCGCTTCTGGTACGAGAACCGCGGCGGGTACGACTCCGACTTCACGCTCGGTGAGTTCTGTCTTTATTTCTTTTAGGAAGAGAGGAAAGTTGGGCAGATGGTGAAAAGGGGATTCAGGGAGAACGAAAGAGAAAAATAGAAAGAGAAAGAGAACAAGAGAAACAGAAAGAGCAAGAGAGCGAATATAAGGAAACACAAAACCAAATAAACAAACAAAGGAAAAAAGAATAACAAAAAATCAAAGCCAAATAAATCCGCCCACAAACTAACCACACCCCCACGCCCTTCCCGCCACAGAGCAACTTGAAGAGATCCGCAAAGTGAAGCTGTCCAGGATCATCTGCGACAACAGCGACGACATCAAGACCATGCAGGTGTACGCGATGGTGCTGCCCGACCACGAAATGTAAGTGCTGCTCACGCTGACTGGCCTCTCGTTAGAAGGCTTCATTTGCTGCTTACGTTATTATTATTATTTTTAAAGGGAGGGCACTATTATTTTTTTTAAAGGGAGGGCACTATTTTTTTTAGGGGAGGACACTATTTTTTTTTTTTTTTTTTTTAAGGGGAGGGCATTAATTCTTTTTTTTTTTTTTAAGGGAAGTGCACTATTTTTTCCATATAAACATATTTAAATCAACAACAAGAAAATGGAGAAACAAACTACATGGAATTAATACCCCAGGAAATAATGAAACGCTTTCTACTCATGAAATATTTGCTTCAGTTAAATACCACTTTGTTTTTCCTTATTTGAGTTAACCGTATGCACTGTCACCATCCTGTGTTCCCGTGGATGTTGAGGGCTCTATTTCAAACGAGATTCAGTTGATATTAATACCAACAGTTCCCCTGGCCTCTCCTATCCATTGTTCATATGAAAAAACAGATATTTGAGGTGTTTCCCAGAGTCATTTATAGATTTGTTCATTTATTAATTATTATTATTATTTATTCATTTATTTTTTGTGAGGATAGCACATTAACTGTAAAGGTTTTAGAAATGAATCTTAGTTCTTACAGAGGCTTCCCGCACTCAGATCACAGGACTTAAAACCCCTGGGCGTCCTGTAGAGGGACAAGGAAGCCTTCATTGTGAAGCCTCAGAAGGGAAGGAAAGGGACAAATGGAAAACGTTCTGTATCAGTTTCGCTTGATGTTTCGTCTGATTAGATTAGGTGTTTGAGGGTTCGTCCATCTGTAGAGGACATGGATTTTCAGAACGGGAAACAGCCACAAAAGCGGCTAATACTCGCGGCTGTGTTTCGGTTTATGTGGTATGATATTGTGCGTGCGGAAGTCTTCGTCTCGGTCTTTTCATACGCTTGAGGAACTTTCTGGAAATATTCTAATTGCTGCTTATTTGGGGTCGCCATGTGGGAGATTCATATTGTTTATGCATTGAGAGATTTCTTTGGGTATTTGTTCGTAGATGTGAAGAGAACGTGGGTACAGGCACCTGGTGTGTTTTTTGTAAATACAAAATATATATATATATAAGGAGAAACTACAGAAAGAACGCCCGTGCAAACATCTATATTACACACCTGGTTAGCCAATCCGAGGTGAAGTGTAAATCAGGGTAAAAAGGATAGAGATAAACGTGAAAAATAACACGCTTCGTCCCTCGTCTCGTTGCAGAAACCCGCGCGTCCCGTGCAACTCCGGGATCTTGCCCAGGATGGACCTCAGCAAATGGCGGGACCCCCACGGCCCGCACCCACGCGTACGTCCTGGCTTCTAAGTAGCAACTCTCCCCCTAACTCCCTACCCCTCCCCCCACTCTCAGCCTCCACCAACGCTGTACTTCCCCCCATGCCCCTAGCCCCAAACCCCCTCCTTCGAACTCCCAGCTTCTCAGAAGTCGTCGCTTAACCAGTGCTTCCTCCGCCTTGCCGCCCTCCTCGTCCCAACCCGTCCACATTACCGCAGCACCTCCTCCTTCAGCGCCCCCTTCTGCGGCATGGATCCTCTCTGTGCTATGCTGTGCTATGCCGTCGACCACTCCCTCATGTGCTAACTCCTCCTCGGTAGATGGATGGGGATGATGATGATGCCCCTCCCGCATCTCTCTCTCTCTCTCTCTCTCTCTGAAAGCTTTCTTCTCCCAACACCGTCTTGCTCTTCTCTTCCTAATTTTCCCTCTATTCTCCATCTCCCTGATATCTCCCCTTTCACCCTTCCTTTCCAACCACGCTCGAGACCCTCCCTATGAATAGAGAAAGAAAGAGAGAGTAGTGAAAAAGGCATCTTTTACCAGCCTCTCCACTCCATCCACCAAACCTGAAATTCCCAACCCATGGCTTCATAGCAGCATGGAGAAGAGAGAGGGGTCTTCTACGCTAACATCAGTTTCGATTATATATATATATATATATATATATATATATATATTATATATATATATATATATATATATATATATATATATATATATATATATATATATATATATATATATATATATTATATATATGTATATAATGTATATGTATATATATATATATATATATATATATATATATATATATATATATATATAATACATATATATATATGTATGTATGTATATATATATGTATATATATGTATATGTATGTATATATATATTGTATATATATATATATATGTATATATATATATGTATATATATGTACATATATATGTATATATATGTATATATTATATGTATATATATATATATATATATATATATATATATATATATATATATATATTCTTTTCTTCCTTAAAAGAACTATCTAACCTAGATTCTAATGTGATTTTTTTCTTTATTATTTTCCGTTTTCTGTGAGTGTTGCCGTCTGCTTATCTCTCTTCTGTATGTAGCAACACTTATTTTTCTCAGAAGATCCTAGATGCATGTGTATATTTTACCATTATTATTGTAATTATCATCATATTACTTTTTTTTCCTGACAGAATATAGTTTATTGATAGAGTGTATAAAGATTATCCACGTCAGTTGACATACCGGAAGTATATGTGTAAAAAAATCACTGCACCACAAACGAGAATATAATGGAGATTAAGATGGGTTAAGTATAATCTTCCCATTCTATATACAAAATCGTATATAAAGCAATGTAAGAATAAAAATGTCCCTGTAAATAACATCCATTTTTTGTGAACTGAATGAAAATTTATCGAAGAAAACGGGAAGGACTGATTAGTTCTTGTAAGATCTATATTCTTAAGAAATTACATTTAGAAAAAATAACACCGTATGGAATGGTAAATTTGTGGGAAAACAAACTTTTGAAACGTTTTAATTGTGAATTGCATATCAAAGACATATATACATGTACAGTGTATATTAAAATAAAACGTATGCATTCCATACTATAGTAATTGTAAAAGAATTTATCAGAGTCATTATGTGCTATGCTCTTTAAAAGTATTTCTTACATTTTATTTTTATTTCTAATTTCGTCTGTTTGTATTAAGTTCATTTAATAGGTTATCAAATTATTTCTATTGAACTGTCTAACATAGTTTATTCTGCTATAATTTGTATACATATATACATATAAATACACATAATTATCATTCCTTTCCAGAAAGTCTCTTATCGAATTTGTCGCCTTATTAATTAATGCTCTTTCCAATTCATAAATAATTTAATCAGTATACGAACGCACAAATTGGGTTTGGAAATTCAATTATAAACTTTTTCTCTATCCCCCGCCCTGATGCACCAAAAAAATGCGTGATTTCCATTCTTTGTAAAGCTTCTGTAAAACAAACTTAAAAAACAACATTGGTTACTTTTGGAAACTTTGAACACCGAAGAAGAATCTGAATTTGATAATATGCAAATTTTGATAATCTGATATAAATGTGTTTCGAGTTGTGGTTGTCGAGGCTTAGACAATGATAAAGATGAACAAGCCAGAAAATAGAAAGTAATTAGAAGTAAACGACTAATGATTAGAATAAGAAAGTCCCATAGAATCATTTCATTATCAAATCGATATCAAGCCAAGACCTTTATTTCAGAACGTAAGGCTTAACTAACCCTCGACAGCTACAAATCTTAAACAAAAGTAACTTATATATATAAACCATATGTGTTATGTATGTATATATATGTATCTTTTTACTGTAAATGCAGGAGTTCGTGTGCGTGTGAGTCTCGCTATACCATACAGCCTTTTTATGTATATGTGTCTTGCCTGTGTAGATAATTCAACCCTCTTATGTATGGCTTGAAACAACGCTCAGAGTCTGGTGTCGAAAGCTGATCAGACCCTAGAGCAAGATCCCGACATTTCTTATTATTTTCCATTTAATTCTTTTTCGTGTTGTTCTGTGTTGTTTTTCGTTCTGTCTGTTTTATCTTGGCTCTATTTTTCCAGTGTTTTTATGTTTCTTTTTCTCTCTTTCTGTTTGTCTAGCTGTTTGTTTGTCTCTGTCTGTCTATCTATTCATCTCTC